ATAATATATAAAATAATAATTTATAATTATACTTTATTTAGGATATGCAGTAACATCTGGTTATTTTATAAAAGGAGAATTATGGTTTGTTTCTGGTGCTCCAAAAGATTCAAATATGAATGGAAGTGTTATTATATTTACTTTTCCTGAAACTAATAATGCAATAATAAATATAAAGAAATTTTTAAGAGGTGAACAATATGGAGAATATTTTGGTGCTGCTTTAACGTCATGTAATCTCAATGGCGATGCTGAAGATGAACTAATTGTTGGAGCACCATTATGGTCAAGATATATAGATGAAGGTCGCATATATGTATATACTGCTTTATCTAATGTATGTTGTATATTCTAAATATATTATATTAAAATATAATATATATATTACATTCAAACATTTAATATTAGGAAAATTTTAAAAAACAATCATTTGATGGAAAAATATCTGAAAGTAGATTTGGTTTTACTATATCTTGTCTTGGTGATATTGATTATGATGGTTATAATGATATTGCTGTCGGTGCACCATATGAAGAAGGAACTGGTGCAATATATATATTTAATGGCAATAGCAACGGATTACTTAGACATTATAGTCAAAAAATAATTGGAAAACAATTTGGAAAAAATATTCGTGGATTTGGGATTTCAATTTCAGAACCTCGTGACATAAATGGTGATAAATATCCTGATATTGCAGTTGGAGCTTATTTATCAGAACAAGCTGTTTTAATAAAATCAAAACCTGTTGTAACAATAACTACAAAATTAATTTATGAAGATAAAAAATTATTAATAAATTCTTCTTCTTTTTTAATTAATGTATGCACATATTATGAAGGAATAAATGCTCCTAAACACCTTCGTAAGTATATAATTAAATATTTATAATAGAATTGAATATATTTAATATAATATTTTTAATATATTTTTAATACTTAAATACTTATAAATACTTAAGAAATATTTAATATTAATTCTGGAATTTAATATTAAACAATGTTTAGGAGTTGTTAAATTTTTGAAAATCGATGAAATATATGGAAGGGCTTATTGTAATATAGAAAAAAATAATATTAATATTTATAAATTTTCTGAAACTTTACATAAATCTAAAAATTTATGCAAGAATATTGAAATACATTTAAAGGTAAAATTTTATAAATACGTTTTTAATAAAAAAAAATATTTATTTTTAATAAAAATATATTATATCTGCTTAATTTATTAGGAAAATATTCAAAACATAATAAATCCAATTGAAATATCTGTAAAAATTAGTTTGGAAAAGAACTTAAATAACAATGAGAGAAAATTGAATTTTTTTTGTACATCTTGTGCAATCATAAATAAATTACTTTCTAAAACTGAAGATTTAATAAAATTACCATTTGCTGTAGACTGTGGTGAAGATAATATTTGTACTTCAGATGTGAAAATATCACTTTCAACAGATTTAAAGTCTGGTAATAGATATATCATAGGATCTACATTTACTATTAAATTTAAATTAGATGTCTTTAATTATGATGAACCTGCATATCAAGCTAAAATATACATATATATACCAAAAATATTATCATTAGCAAGTATACCATCTTTATGTATAGAAAATTTTTATAAAAATAATACTTTAGAAGTAATATGTGATCTTGGAAATCCACTTAAAAAAAACGTAAATATAATTTATTTTTTATATTAAAATATTTTTAAAAATATTTATATAACATAATTATATCTTTTTATTAGAAAAAATTAATATTAAATTTGGATATGAGTAAAATTCAATTTGATATTGATCATGTACAACTATGGACGAATTTTAGTACACAAAGTGAACAAAAAAATTCATTCAATAATATAAATGTTTTTACTATATATTTTGATACTGATATCGATATAGCAATAACAGGGTTAGTATTGCTATGTTTATTAATTATTATTATTTAATTAATGATTCCTTTTTTTATTTTCATATTTTATTCATATTTTATTCATATATAGATTGTTATTGATAACTACAATTATTTTCACTTAGGAAAGCCCAACATGATCTATATTCATATTTTCTTGAAAATGAAGATAAAAAATTAAACAGCATTCAGTTTCAACATATTTATGAAATTCAGAAATTTGGTGCTAGTCCAATTAATGAAGTTATATTAACACTTAGTATTCCAACTTTCTGGAAACAATCTATTGGAGATATACAAATTATCAATATAAATGACACAACTTGCAGCTATATGGATAATCAATTATTTCATTGTACCTATTTAAACTCTACAGTTTCAACTGCTTTAATTGATAATTTTAAAATTTATACTGCAAATACTGAAAAATACACATCAAAAAAGTTTATAACAGATTCTAATTTTTCTATAAATTTTCCACCTAAAAATAGATCACTTTATGTTGATTGTATAAATGACAATGTAAAATGTACATATATTAAATACAAATTGGGCCCATTTTTAAATTCTTTGTCTATTGCAAAATTTTCAGTTATATTAGATATTTATTTATTTAATTTTAAATGTAAGGTTTTGTTTAATATATTTTTATATAATTTCTAAATTATAATATGTTTAAAATATTTTTTTTTTTAAATTTTTTATTACAGCAATGATGGCAGGAAAAGATATTATATTTTTTCTATCTAGCGGAAATGTTAATATTTTGGAATCAGATCATATTATTCAAAAAATTGGACATAAATCTGATAATGTTATTGTGGCTACAATGTTTTTAGGTTCACTAGTAACTGAACAAATTGCTATATGGATTATAATTTTATCAATTTTCTTAGGAAATTTATTATTAATATTATTAATTTTAATATTATTTAAAATCGGATTCTTTAAACGAAAAAAAAAGAGAGAACTTGAAATATTAAAATCTGAAAATGTAAGTTTGTTGAAACATTTTAATTTTATATTATAGATATTTAATGTTCTTATTACATTACAGAAAAAACATAGAATTATGTTGGAAACATGTTCATCAATAGAAGTTTTTCATCAAGAATAAATTTATTAATATGTTTTTATAATATATAATATATATTTTATACATATATATA